AAAGTATTTCTTGTAAAAGTTGGTGAGCTTGTCGTTGTTTTGTCGTACAACGCAAATACGGCCCTCGCCCGTCCCATCTGTCTGGTGTTTCGTCGGACCGGAGTTGTTTTTTTTTTCGGCCGACCACCATGGATGGATGCTATCGATGATGATCGGGTGAAATGGGTGTCCTGCTTGTTAAAGGAATATTTTTCAACGCCCCTTGCGTGGCATGCGATGAATAATGTGCATACATGATCAGACGTTGGTATACATACTCCGGAGTACCCCGCCTCTTCCTGACGGCGTCTGTCTACTCCGTCGTCCCCCTCCTCTCTAGTTTCCCCCCTCCTCCTGGCTTCTCACATTTTTTTTGGGAGTCGCATCGTAATCTCTGACACCTGTCTGTCTGTGTGGGTCGCTTGGTTCCCTACATCATGCCTGCTGTAAATTGACCGAACTGGTGCGTGCTAGTGAGGAGGGAGGCGTTGCTTGGACAAGGGCGACCGGGGGTGAGTGAAAGGGCGAGGAAGTTATCGGCCAGATTCTGTAGCTATTAATCGCCTTGAATCTCTGTCAATTGTGGACTTGCAAATAAATGTATTTTGTTTATTGATTGCGACGAGTTGATGCATACAATACACACGCGGAGAGCGCAGCATGATGACCCGGTCGGTGCGCAATAATGACGGATGGATCGGGCCTCTCTCTCTTTGTTGATTATCCTCATCCGATGCTTCGGCCATCGTGTCGTCCAAGAAAACGAAATGCTGCTGAGAGCGAACCGGCTGTTGTGTTGTTGTATTGTGTGTTTTCGTCGCTCTTACGCGTTGTTTTTAGTTGCTGTTTTTCTAAGTAACGTGGTGCGACGGATTTATTTGTTGCGATGGCCATACACGCCGAACGATTTACCCTTCGTTGAATGCATATTTCACCTGTACATGATGACCTGGTATATAACTGCCGTATGTACCACCTGTCTGTTTGGTATCTATCTCTCTCTGTGAAGAAGAAGAAGAACCTGGTGTAGTAAGAGAAAACAGCGCTCGCTCATAATAGTCAGACAAAGGGGGACAGGATAACATGTAACGAACTGCACCAGCTGGTATACCTACTCAATCGGGAGGACAAACATTTGGTATTACAATGAATGGTTGGTTGCTGTCCGACCAACTTACTTGGTGAATGGTTGCGTACGTACATTACAATACGAAGTGGGCATATTTTACTGCTGTTGTTTCTCTGTTAGCTTTTTGCATGTTCTTGCATCATCACCCCTTCCTTGCCGCGGTGCTCTCTTTACCCCACTCCGGAGCGATGCCTTGTAGATAGATAAGAGTTGATGACACCAACCTACGCATGCATGTTGTTGTATAGATAATGATAGAGTTTTGAGGACACACCAACCTACGCATTATTAGCCGACCGTTCGTCCTCAAACTCGTGCAAGAAATTCACGAAGACGTGCGTGCGTGCGCGACGACTATTAGACTATTTATTATATCCAAGGCGACACGTTTGTTCAGACAGTTGATGATGACGAGGCCGCTTCCGCAGCAACTTTTCAGCAACAATACAATGTGTAACAATACAAGCGACCACGACAGAGACAAAAGAAGAAAAAAACACCCGCCCGCCGCTTGCCCGAAGAAAAACGCGTGTTGTTGTTTCTCCGCCTGGCGGCACGCATCAGACAACAGACAGACAACAGATAAGCAACAGGAGGAGACCAGTAAGCACCCGAAGAGGAGATAGATCCTCAACCCTCACCGAAAGGGCTTCTTCGTGCAAAGCATAACTGCCAACGAAGCAGTATTCTTATTCCCCATGTTGCCAATTCTATCATCCTTGGAACCATACGAAAAATCGAATCCCCCGCTCACAGAAAAGAAGCAGCGGGCATATTGATCTGGGGCAAGGGAGAGAACGGAAAAACCGGAGCAACTTGTCGAGTCGACCTCGACCTCATCGGCATTAATATTTTACGCACACACGACGCATGTGCTGCGTGCCCAGCAGACGGTCAAAAGCGCTTGCATGCATTTTCTCTCGACACACAGCGTAGGGGCACGCGTCGGCTCCGGACAGGAACAACGGCGCCAGGGCTGTCTGCTGTCGTTGTGTGTAGCGCTGGGATGAGGCTGCCCGCCGTGCGTGTCTGCAGTTTGAGGGGACGACGAGCAAATATGAGAACGAAAAGGCTGACAACAACCAGTTGTTTTGGTCGTAGATTGCGGAGATTCCCAAAAGAAGATAGAAGCCATGCGTGTTCTTTGGGAACTCGAACCTGCCTCCCCGCTGTCGATCTTTGACAGAACTCGAACTAAAATGTGTTTGTCTGTGGCCACACACACAAACCGCGCGCGAGGGATAATAGGCCACATCAGGCGATGCAGTAAACCAGTGCCTAGAGAGCGTGGCGTGGCAGGAAAGGGCTTGTACGCGTGGGCCAGAACGCTGGGCTGACGCGGACGGGAGCGATTGTAGTGCAGCAGCGCGGAAAGGTATGCACACACCGACTACCCCGGGTATGCTACAACCAGGGAAAACGGCCTATTTGCTGGGGTGTCGCGTATGCATGTATGCCGACGCATCCGGAGAGGGCGTGTGTGCTCCGCGAGAGGAGTGGTGCCGTCGGAGATCAAGGCTGCTGCAGTGTGACTGCTGTTGACGACGTGATTTGGTTTGTCGGCAGCAGCACAGCAGCAGCAGCAACAGCAGCGAGCGCACAACAAGCGTCGCTGTGCGCTGCGATCGATGAAAGAAAGAAAAGATGATAACGTTCCCTTTTCCAACAACTGCCGCGCACCCGCATAATTCGAAACTTTTTAGGCTCACATACATACATAAACATTCCCATTGGAGCGACTGCTGAATGCGTGCCTCTTTCTCTTTCTCGTTCTCTTCTCTCTCTGGCTCACGGCTGTGCTCACACTTTCTCCCTGTCTGCGTGGCGGCGTCGTGTTTTGTCACCTTTCCGTGTGTGTGTGTAATTCTATTCGAGTCGCTTGTACCGCATCATGATGAGGTGTTCTATTCCACGTTGCCCTCTGTCCTCTCCTCCGCAACAAGAACCTCGTTGTAGTGTACGCTCAACTTCGTTTTTGCCACTGGTAACAGGTAAAAGACGTGGCTGGCCAGGACCCGAGAGACAGGGGCCTAAGCCACTTAGGTGCGACGCCCTTCCGCGTGGCCGGCGCGCGTGCTCGCGCGCGGCGCAACTCGTGCCGCAATTGCTGCTGCCGCGCTGGGCGGCTCGCTGGGGGCGGCGGTGGGAAACGGCCCACCAAGCGGCAGACTAGCCTTCTGTCTCGTAGACTCAGCAACCATGATGGATCGCGGAGACAATTCTCAGGTTGACGGCCGGCAGCGAGTATTGCAGCACGAACAGCACCACCTCCACCAGCAGCAGCAACAGCAGCAACTCGAGCCTTCCTACCACCACCACCACCACCACCACCAGCGGCAGCAGCAGCAGCAGCAGCAGGATTCTTTCGGCTCGCCGCCGCCGAGCGGCGTCGTGTTCGGGGGCGCGAGTCCCGGGGACAACAGTGGCACCACCGCGCCCACGCCATCGTCGGCGGCGTCGGCGGCGCTGGCCGTCGGGATCGGATCCCTGGCGAATGTTTGCACCGCCGCGTACGACGTCGTCCGCTCGAGCAACACCAGCAGCACCTCTGACCTGGCGGCAAGCGGCGGTGGGAGCGCGCCGTCCTACTCCATCCTCCTCCCGTCCCCGTCCCCGGCGATCGATCCCGCAGAGATGCAGGCCGCGGGCAAGCAGCAGCAACAACAACAACAACAACAACATCAACATCGTCCACCACCGGAGGGCAGCAGCAGTAGCTTTCGGGCGTACCCCACCGCTACCAGCGCTCCGCCGCTCAAAGCCGGCGGCGAAGCCGCGGCGGCGGCGGCGGCGGTGGGCATGGCGGCCCACCAGGCTCGACTCCGATGCCCTCCGGCGGCGCCGTTCGAAGGGGGAATGAGGCTACAAGGCGGCGGCGCCGGCGGGGAGATGCCGCCAGAAACAACTACAGGACGACCGGCGGCGAGGGCTGCAGCAGGACGGCATCCACGGCTCCCATCGGTGTCTCTCCTTCTCGGAAACGTCCGCGCGCAGGAGTACAACAACGCCGCCGCGGCGGCGGCGGCGGCGACGGCGGCGGGAGCGGCCACTGCCGCCAGAGTGTCGACGCCGGTGTCGACGGGTGCGGGTAGCGACGACCGGCACCTGTTGGGCGCATGGGGGGCTGGCGGCGGCGGCGGCGGCGGGGCCGGCGGGGCGGGCGGCGGCAGCAGTGGGATGCGGTCACCGTCTTCGACCAGCCAGCCGGTTCTGGGTTGGGGGAGAGGAGGTCACATAGTGCGGCAGCAACAGCAGCAGCAGTTGCTAAGAAACAATAGCAGTGGCGGTTTCGGGCAGCAGCTGCGTGCTGGAGCACCGACACAGCAGCTTAGCGTCTCTCCGCAGCAGCAGCAGCAGCAGCAAGGCCACCCGGCCCAAGCATCTCACTCGGCAGCAGCAGCAGCGGCGGCGGCGGCGGCGGCCTATTCTTACCCGCCGGGATCAGCCGCCGAGCAAGCGCCGACGGCGCTGGGGGAGACGACGGCGGTGTGGGGGCAGCAGGGCGGAGGGGGGGGGGGGGGGG